CAGCAACTGTCACTGGAAAACAACAGGATTGGTTCTGAATTCCAATGGTTTAATTTTATTCTCTATGTTATACGAGTCAACTGACAAATAGGTTTCACTTGTTAATCTACAGCTGTGCATTCTTGCTAATGTGATTTCACCCAGAAGCAGCAGTGGACTCTATAATATGTAATCCAAGAAAGAAGGGGGAAAAACACCTTAATAATTTAATATATGGAGGCCATCTTCACATGCTAAAACATTGGCAGATGTTTTATATAAAAAATGACTTTCCTTAGTATTTTTTAAACTGCCGTAAGAGCCAACCCTGCAGTCCTTACTCAGAGGAAAAATGCATATAGTTCAATGAAACCTCTCTTTTAAAATTAACATGACATAGCTTGTAATGGAACAACAATACACACAATTCTGCACAATGCCATGCTTATTCTCCTGTGTCCAGAAAATACCAGAGTTTCAGGCTGTACAACTAAACATGAGTATCCAGTGTTAATCTGGCCAGAGAGAAGAAGCACTCAAGGAAAAAATGAGCACACAAAACACAGGATGGAGAGAATGAAGGCGTCATCATACGTGATACCGGCTTAGTATAAACTCAGTATACTCAGTGTTAAAATAATCAAACATGCTATACAAATGCTTATTGTTGACTGTGTCAGTGAGCAAGGATAATCACATTTCCATGAGGTTTTTGCCTGAGTAAGGAAAGCAGGATTGTGCCCATACTCCCTTGTGCAAGTTCTACAAAAATAAACAACATTCATTCCAGCTACAGCTGAAAAGTATAGAAAATACAGTCAAACCTCTTAGAGGTACATCAGGAATACAGAATTTAGGTTAGTACAAGTGAAAAAGAGAAAATATAATGCACATCACAGAACAGCTTGGTAAACCATTTTCAAACTTAATAAAAAATAGATAGGTTTTATCTTTTAAACTGCCTATGCTGTATTTATTTTAACAGAAAAGGGAAACTATTAAAAAATAGATTTTTCATGCCATACAGTTAAAAGAACTTTTGGAAAGTATTCTAATTTTATGTACATCTATCTGTTGTAAAGAAGGAAAATATTTTCTATTAAAATATTGGCTGCCAAAAATCACTCTTTTAAGTTTCATAACAATACAGGCAAACACACCTACACACATACCTCTACTTTTCCCAAGCAGTTGGGTATGGCCATATAGTCATGATCTTTAATGGTCTCTACATATATTTTAAAAGTTATATAACATTACGACTTGGGATTTAAATCCTCAAAGCTTTCTATGTGGCTCCGTCTATCTGCAAGAGATAAGAGCAGGCACACAGGATGTTTGGGATGATAAAAACATATGGTAAATTACCCATATTTCTTGCATTTAAACAAACTATACTTTTGCACTAAACAGTGTCCAGCTAGGAGAATATACAGTTAATTAATTAGACTACCAATTCTGCTTTTTAGGGAGAGATTTGCTTGCCATTGGCAGAATAAAAGTTGGGAAGGAAGGAATATTTAACTTCCCACTGGCTGGGCTGACAGTAGAAAAGTGGGCTAGGGTGTCACAGTGGGAATAATCTAAGGTGCTGGCTGCCTGCCTGCCTGAGGTCAGGTGGAAGGGAGACTGTACTGATTCTCTGGTGGGGAATAAGCACTGGAGAAATTGATATTTTGTTGGAATAGCACTGGGATGAAGCTCTGCCTTAGGATGAAGGCTCTTTAGGGATCTAAAGCAAGGAAAAGAAAGTTTATATCTGCCGTGTTCTTAGCTTGTAGCATAAAATCTTGATCTGTGACCCAGGTAGTCAGTGGGTATGTCTACATGTGGATTAACATGCTTTAGTTAATACACATTAAATCTAGTACCTCCTTTGTACCCACACTGGAAAACGTGCTTTAGTCTGTCTTAATGTACATTAACTAAAGAGCATGGTTTTTAAGTGCATGATGTTTAATGTGCATTAGGTTATTTTAATGAGCATTAGAGCTAAATAACACTTTTTTTAGTGATGCTTTAATGCACATTAAAATAGGCTACTGTGCATTAAAGTACATGTGTAGATGTCCCCAAGTGTCTGATTCAATGAAAATGCTAAATATATTTAGAAAAAAAAGGCATTATTCACTTGGAAAAATACAATGTCCAGCAGAAAGAAAGGCATGTTTTAAAGTACATTTGTTAAACTCAATTTAAAAAGAAAACTAATAGGTACACAATGCAGGGATTTTAAAATTACCTTATTGGCCTATGTACTGCTCAGTTAAACCTGGAATTTATAAAAGTGTATCTGGCTCATGTAGTAATTTGTGTTTTATGAAGAAAAGATAAATAGGAAAAGAACAGGAAGTCCTGTCTTACAGAAGCCAGATATTTTTTTAATCCAGATGTTGAAATATATATCTCTGGTATAGGTAAAGGCACTAGCAATGGCAATTTCCCAAGTACTGCAATTTCTATTTTTTTCAAGCTTATGTATAAATAACTGTTCAGTGTATAATGTAGCCATATTATATTTTATTATTTTAAATAAAATCAACTATTAATGTGAGGAGCTTAAAATGATAAATGAAGGGCTTTTTTAAAAGACTCATTTTTTTTCTACACTAAGGACAGCTATCTTCATCAATGTTACATCTACTTTCTGTATGTATGTGTCCACAAGTAAAAATCTTTGTTTTAAAGAGTTGCAGAATAAATTGATTATGGATGGTATGTAGCACTTGTGGGTTTAGAAGTCAGAAGTTTGTGCTTAAGAAGTCTTGCAGTTTTTCCACAGTATTTTAACAGCAACTATTTGATTTCTAGGTGTGAACGTTTCACAGGAGGAAAAAAATCTGGCAGATAAAGATCCTCACCATCATCTGAACACTCGAACTGGACTTCCTTTTCTGAATTGACCAGTCAGAGAGAAAGGAAAAGAAGAGAATGTGACTGGTTGGATTGAAAGTATCAATTCATGGAGTACAGTATATTTTTTGTTTTTAAAAAGACGGCTTAAGTTGAGGAAAGGGTAGGGAAAACTTTTTTGGGGGAAAATAGTTTCTATATGAGAAGAATTTGAAAACAAAGATGTCCACACAGGTAAATCCATCCCCACTGCTTCACATAACTTCATAGAAAAACAAAAGAAAAAATGAAATGATCCAGAAGTACTGGATATCAACAAGTGCAATTTAAGCAAACCATTGGCAATATCTGTTTGCAACACTGCTATCAAAATGGAGATACAATATATACCATTATTGACCAGTGGAAGGAATAATATTTAAAAAGCAATAGCTAGCTATGTTCCACAAAAATACACGTTAAAGAATCGTTATTGAAATGACTGATTTAGCCTGCATGATATGCTTCTTCACATAAATCTACTACTATAAGCTGCCTATTATTTGATACCACAAAGCATTTGTATAGCAAAGCATTTAAGTTATAGTATATTGACTTCATTCTAACAGTCTTACAATTTTTGTATGGGAGAGAGTGCATATGTGTTGGATTGTAAAGGACAAACCTACAATGAATCAGGTAGTTAAGTAAATAGCATTTTGTTACAGCTAAAAAGGAATTGAAGTAGAAAGGTAAAATTTGGTTCAAAGATACACTCATAAGAAATCAGGCAGAACCCAGAAGAAAGTTTACATTATGTAACAAAAGTTGGGGTGTTTAATTTAGTCTTCAGCCATTCTCTAAGAAAAAGAAATATACTCTTTCTCGGTGCTGAATGATTTTTATTTTGTTTTTCAAAGTATCTATCCAGGACACTCATTTGTGAAGCACCTCTCCTCCTGAAGGACCTGGTGACACAAGAGCTCCTATGAGTTCTAAATCATCTACATAAGCTGCCAAAATGTTCCTGTTCTTAGTGAGTCAGGATGAGTTTACTTGCAGAGATGTTAAACCTCTTCACTTCTGACAAACACACCCAGTACACCTAGTGAAATACATCTCATGTGGTGCCAAAAATTCAAGGAATATAATATTCCATTTTACTTGATGGTAAGTCAAGGAATCAGGAAGGCAGGAGAGCTGCAGTTCAGCACCAGTAACAAAAATGAGCAAACACACCCATTACCAAATGTTTATTTATATTAAGAAGCTAAATAAAGCATTGATTCATTGAGGGCAAAATTGACCTTTATTGAGAAAAGTATAAAAATATTCTTTATTCACCATTTTTCTTTTCTAGCCTTATGGAACTTGGCTGAGATTTCCAACTATTCATTTAGTTGTAAGCTCAAAAAAGGAAAAAAAAAACTTTAACTGCTTTAATTATACAGTCAAAACCATTTCTAAATGGGTTTGTAAAGAGGAGGAATAATTATTTCCAAAGTCCAAAATCAAATAAGTTGGTACATGGAAAAGAAGGTTTAATGAGATGTATAGTTTGGTACATTTGTTTAACCTACCTTGACTCCATCAGGTTTCTTCAGTAAGCTCTTTGCTGCTGTAAGATGAGGAAACAAATTCAATGTCAGCTGGTTATCAACAAAGACAATCAGAAGTTCAGCAAAATAAGCATTTCTAGGTTTTATTTTCTCCCTCTGCTTCTATAGGTTTAGGGTATGGACATCTATGACATTTGGGAAACAAAACGTTTTTGCTCTGCTTTCCACTTCGATTTTCTGAAGAACTTCCCCTAAAGAGCACCAAATTCTACTACTTACAATAGAATCTTTCTATTTGATGCTGACAATTTGGAGATCTACTACAAATTACTAAATTTTGTGTATTACAGTAGCATGTAAATAAGCATGCAAAAGCCCTCATATTGCAACATATACACACACACGCACACACACACACACTGATATGTATAAGCATGTGAACAGACTTGATTCAGTTTAGCTGATATATTCACATGTGTAAATGCTTGCAGGTTCATGTAACAAAAGATGACGAATAATGAATCACTAAATGTGCCCGTCATTTTAGAATTTATTTATAAATGAATATGTATTATTAAGAAATATAATACAGTTTACAAAAAGGAAAATAATCCATTTAATTTTTTTTGCTTAGAAGTAGGAAAAAAGTAACTTTTTCGTATGGGAGGGAAACAACCACCTTAATAACTATCATAAACACTTTGGCCAAGCTGACCAGCAGCACAGAAACCTTATGGGGCCTTGACTTGTTAGCGGGAAGCACAGCTTATTCATCCACACTGTGTTGCCACATCTATACTCCTTCTGGATTGGGAGTCGGTGTGGTAGTCCTCAGAACAGCACTGCCTTGTGTTGGATTAATACACTGTGAAGGCATGATGTGGATGGTGCACACTGTGGACAGATGGACATAGCCACATGCATCATCCTGTGGCTATTCAACTAGTTCAGGGCACACAATGATCTATTACCGGTTCTTGGACCAGGAGTACCTAGCACCACTTCTGAGAACAAGTGGCCAACACCATCTGTTACCCTCTTCAGTCAGCAGGAAACCCAGGAGGAGGACAAAGAAAAAAACCTAGAGACTTCAAAGGTGGGTTGGGAGTCAACCTCTAGGTCATTGGGACCTCAAGGGTTATCTAGTTTAGCCCTCAGGTCTCCCATATGTTATTGTAGCTTGTGTGCTCAGCAAAGCAAAATGATCCCTAACTGGCTGTGGCTTAGCCTCAGTATAATATCAGTGTATAAAAAAAATGTGTGTGTGTGTATGTATGTACATGCACATATCTATAGACAAATACATACATGCATATATAATTTTCTATAAATATATAGGGGATTTTGTGGGCAATTTCCCCTATTATAAAAACAATTGCTAAAGACAAAAGTGAATGGACAGGAGGAAAACAGGAAATCAATTGGCTGGAAAGGTCTGGGCTTGCCTCTCAGTGTTTTTGGCCAGATGAAAAAAAATATACTTTGGGTGAAAAAACAGCACAGCACGAAGCACTCTTCATCCAGACCTTTTTTCCTCTGCATAAGGAAATATTACAACAATTGCAGCTGCATGGAAAAAAATATAATTTGATTGACATTTGGGGATCTTATTCTTCCCAGTAGCCATGTAATTTGTTGGATACTATTTAATCCATCTTTCCTTTGGTTAGATGTAGCTTTGCTTTAACTTCTTTTCTGTGTCTGTCTCCCATCCACCTGCTGTCAGGGTTCGCTGTTCATATTAGTGTGGTTCTACTGTACATTGCCATAGAAACTGGATGAAAAAGAACTGATCTTCATTTAAAAAAACAGTATTGGAACTTTAACTGAAGCTGACGTTAGCTTTTATATTCTAGAGAATGTCTATCACTCCACAAAATCGATTTTATTAGTTGTGATATTAGATCAGCTCATACCACCATTAAGACAGTGACACTGGCCCATTCTAAACTTCATTCACAAAAGTCTGCTCCAAGCTTACACTGACAAAAAAACCCTTTCATCTCTTCTATGAAACAGTATTGAAGCATATTTTTCACATGCGTTATAAAAGCATAACTTACATTAAGACCAAATTACATTTATAAATAAGCTGCTGCGTTGCTTAAGCTTTTCAGGTTAGTCACTGCCTATTGGTTACATGTGTTCACTGTGCCTGGTATAACTGGGCCTTGATCCCCCATCGTGACATTCAGACTCTGCTTTATTACAGCAGCATTGAGTCTTTAAATTCTTTTAGCAGGAAGTAGTTATATTTTTTTTATGAATTCTTTCAAGCTGATTATTCAAACAGGGAGTTGCCTTTTATATTTAAAATCTTAGAACTTTAAACATGAACAAAGTCAAAATGAAAGTAGTAATAGGAATTGCTCGGGACACTGTGATTCTAGTAGCATTGTGGAAAAACTGTTGATGTGCTTTACTACAACTCAAAGGCTTGAGTTCAAGTCTTGTTTCAGGCTTATGTTAGTAGCCACAATTGAATGAGCAGTAAATAGACAATCAGACTTGGGAGTCAAAAGACATAATGCTAGCAATATCACTCCTTATGTATGCTGTTGACTACCAAAGCTAGCATGCCTCAACTATCCTAACCCTATGGACCACAGGACACAGAAGAACCAGTCAATACTGCTGATACTGCTGGTATGTAAGCAGATATGACATTAGAAAAGTGTTTGATGTGGCATTAGTGTGTGATATTTCATGCTATGAAACATATTTCAGACTATTTTGACAGGAATTCCATGCCCAGAACAAGGGTAGAGTATGCCTTTCTACTCTGTATTCTGTGATATTCAGACAGCAGTTCCAAGAACTGTTAATTTTAGCTATGTATTTCTTCATTTTTCATCACCTTGGGATTAATTTTAATAGTACTTCAATGCACTTCTGTGTAAGCAAAGACACTGTATGTGAATCAACTATTAAAAATTCTACAGTAGCAAAGCAAATAGCATATTCTAAATTAAGCTAACAATGAAAGATTGAACTATGTTGATTTCCTGCAACTGAAGAGCAACAGTTATTAAATCCTAAGGCAGTGGTAATAAGCTAGAAAGCGAATTGAGACAAAATGAAGTTATGATATCATGCAGAGCTTAGATTGGTTCAGAGCAGATAGCAGTTTTGCTCAGGAGATGCATAAAGATGTTCCTTTTAGGTGCTGAGTGTCTTACCTCACAAGAAACACACATTCCACATAAAAGGAAGAAAGACAAGGAAAATAAAACACGTTTATAAACACATTTTTATGGACACAACCTTAAAATGTATGTTTTGCAATGAAATGCAATGAACAAACAACTAAAACATTAAAATGTCATTTCTAATGTAGGATGTTGAAGCTGTCTTAAATTAACCAGTCAAGTGACAGACAAAAAAAAATCTTTGCACTCCATGCCAAGACATCAAGAAACAGTATTTTAAAATTACGTCATGTTTTTTTCTTTAGGAATTTCAACATTGGACTGAAATAGACAGATAACAATGACTAATGAAAATGATTAGAAATAATACATGTCTTATAATTTAAAATGATGCAGCTTTGAAAGATGCTTACAGCCTCTCCACTCAACTCCTCAAGTTGAAAGTCACAGATAACTCATTAAATGTTACCCAAATAGATTTAAAAAAAAGGTGACCTTAAAAATTAAACTTTCATTTAAATGTGGAAACCCCACAAACCAAGAAAATGCATATTCTTAACACTAATTACATTGGACAAATTGGTCTCATATTCATCATGTTGTAACTTTAGTTGTTTATTATGTTTTAGTTCAATGTTTATCATCATTCAAAACTAGGCCGGTAGACTGTAGCGATTTCATCTTTAAATCAATATATGTTATACTACAATAGAATTCTTTACAGAATATAAGATTCTTTAAAGTTACTGATGCATGATCTCACCTACTTATGAACTTCCTGCTCTTTAGTCACTTGTGAGGTCTGATCTGCATCATCAGTATACATTTAAAGTAGAGGTCTCTTGACAAAACCTCAGATACTGAGGTTGCAACAGGAGATTCAGAAAACTTTTCTTCCACAGAAGAATTGAAACACAAAGTAAACCAAATGATACATAGTGATAAGCAGGGATCTGGGTTTTTCATTTCCCACAGAAACAAACAAACAAAAAGAAGGATTTCTCCCTTTGCCTGAAGAAAACATGGATTTCTCATTTTAATGGAGAAACCCACATATTTTGCAGTTTTGCAAAGAGCTCTCTGCAGGCTGGCAGAGTTCCAGCCTGCAAGGGGTTGCCAGGGAGTGGGAGGAGGGCAGTCAGGTAGGGGGTGCCCTGTGCACACATGCGCATGGCTGCCAGGCAGCCTGGAGAGCCGCTCCCACAGGTAAGTGTGCGGGGGGGGACCCATGCCCCACAGATCTGTGCGTGTGGTGGGGAGGGGGGCACGGGCTGCCTGCTGCAGGCTCCCCACACTGCTGCCCTCCCCTGGGGCCTCCACAGTCCAGTGGGTGTGACTTGGCGCTGCACGGCACAGCGGGGCTACATGGGGAAGCTGTTCGCCGCTGTGAGCTCTGCACTGCTGAGGTGAGGTGTCCCCTGTGCACAAGGGCAGCAACACGGGGTTGTGCCCTTTGCTGCTGTTGTATGGGCAGGGGATGCATTACCAGGGCAGTGCAGAGCATGCAGTGGCAACGAGTTTCCTTGTGTGGCCCCACTATTCCCTGTAGTGCCAGGTTGCATCTGCTGGGCTGCAGAGGCCCTGGGGGAGGGCAGCAGGGCGGAGAGCCTGATCCCACAGCAGGCAGCCCATACCTGCCATGACCCCATGCACAGATCTGTGGGGCACAGGTCCCCCCTGCGAGTTCATGCAGTGGTAGGGAGCTGGTCCAAGCTTACAGCAGGCAGGCAGCAGGGGGTGAGCTGGGTTCCACCTTGATGCAGCAGCTGCCACCTCCTGGCCCCCATAGCCCTGGTGGCTGGGTACCCCCTCTAGCAGGCCTGGGGCGGAGGGGGGGAAGAGGGCGGTGGATGGGGGGCAAGGGGCACCAGCAGGGCTGGGGGACTGTGGATGGAGAAGTGAGGGGCATGAGTAGGGCCAGAGGGCTGCGTGGGGAGTGAGGAGCATAAGCAGGGCCAGGAGGCTATCGGGGGGTGCGGGGGAGCAGGGGAGGGAGTGAGGGGCACCAGCAGGGCTGGAGGAGCTGTGGGGAGGAGTGAGGGGGCTTTTCATTTTAATCACAGGTTTTGGGGTTTTTATCAGGGAATTTGTGATGTTTGTTTATCAGGGAAAACCAGGACCCCTGGTGGTAAAGGTATTGTTAAACATTCCCATTCCCACATGTCAAATGCTGTTAAGAGGGAAGCATCCACACATCAAGGTAGGAAAAGACAAGCTAAGTGCCCTCTGATCATCTCAAGGGTATGCCTCCTCAGGTGAGGATTACCTCTAGCTGGTGTTAGGCAGTTTGTGTTGCAGTAATGTTAGTGGACTCCCCAGGACCAATACCAGCAATTTGTGGTCCTTCAGTATCTCAGGATGCACTGTTCCCAGATTTCTGCCCCCCCGCCCCCAATCAGATGATCTATCATCTGGAACTCTACTGCCCTGCATTGACAAGAGAGCCAGGCAGTGGGTGCGGGATGAGGGAAGCAGGTGAGTGGGGAGCTGCTGGGGAAGCACGGGTAGAGGGTGGGGCAGGTAAGTGGGGAGCCACTGGAGAGCCAGAGAGCCAAGCAGCTACAGGGCATTGCTGATATTATTTTAACTTTCTGTGTTTCAAGACAAACACAGGCATAACTTGTCCAGTTTCGGATATGATGTCCTTTCCTAGCCCTATGCATAGCTTGGATTCTACTTCTACCTGTAGAAAAGCATGTGTGGCATACTTGCCAGAGGTAAAATAACAGAGGAGGAGGGCTACCTTCCCAATATTTAGCTAAACAGCTTATTGGAAAGGGTAGGAGATCTGGGTTCTACTGCCCCCTCACTCAGAGGGGTTTAATGCGTTTCTTTTTTCCCAGCAAAGTTATCTAATCACGAGGTCCTGGGCTGGGCATTGTTGCCAAGAGCACTCTCCTGATCTCCTTTTGAACGAAAACAGACTGATTTATTTCAGTTCTGCATTTTACACACCTATAATGCATAACTTCATTTTTAAGCACTCCTTGACCACATATCTACTTGCACAAGTATCATAATATAGTTTGTCCTTTGCAAGGATTACAAACCTAAGACTATAAATGATGCTTTCCCTCTTTTTCAATAGGGTTACAAACATACTACACCAAAATACTTTATTAAGTGTCATCAGCTATAAAAGGCTCCATTAAGCCCAGCAGCAGTTGAGATATTTTTTGCTCTTACCTCTGAAAAATGAAGCAACTTAGATAAACTACGCTTTAAATATACCACAGTACTAAACTCATTCTAATTAGATCCTGGTTGTTTTAAGCACACACCAAAATGTGAAGAACACACAGATTTGGAGTTCAATAATCATACCTGAAAAATTTCTGGTAGCCAGCATGGTTGTCAAAATGGCTCCCTGTAAAAACAGATATTGGCTTACATTAATGTTATTTCTGCATAGCCCTGTGTGTGCTGGAACAAAAAGGAAATCTTTATAATTAGACATCATTTAATTAGTGAATTTATCAGGAAGAATGAATTTTGTATGCATTATATATATCAAATGCAGTACCTGTGAATGATGAAATAAAAATACATAATATCCCCAATCATTACTGAGCTGTTAGAATATAATAGTGCACAAATCCATGTATGCCCATGAGCATATAAAGCATCATCTGAGCATATGACACTGATTTTTACTTCATCTGCTTGAGATGAGTTTTGCTTACATACTGGAGAGAAAAGCAGTAGACATAAGTGGCTGCAGGAAAGTGCAGGGGGCATCCTGTAGGGAGACTGGCTGCAGAGCAATAAGCTTGGTGATAAGGCCAATTAGAAACCCTTGCATTTGGCTGAGAAAACCAGAGATCATGTGACTGGATCATGGGCCCCTGGGCAATATAAGCACGGCTCTTGGATTGGAGAGGGCAATTTGGCCCACGTCTGGAAAGGATAGGGTGCTCTGTAGGGGTCTTATGGAGAAAAGGAGTTTATGTCTTGAAGTTTATGTAGCCATGAGGCATGGAAGCACCTGAAGAATGCATTGTGAAGAAGGCACTGTGTGTATGATTAGCTTGCTTAGAGCACAGAGACAGACTGCCAGGATGGTGGGGAGGCAGGGGAGCTAGAGAGAGCTAGAGAGAGCAACCAGTTGGGGGCACTAGAGAGAAAACCCAAGAGATGTGCAGCCAGTTAGGGGTGTAGGGGAGAGAGTATGCCCCATTTAAAGGTTTCCCACAACATATTTATTAAATATCTAAACTCCTGATGTTTGTCTAAACAGTGTCACTTTGAAGAATTCACAGGATATACACCATAAAACACTTCAAGAGAAGTTTATCCTGTGTATGGAGTACATGACAACTTAGCCTTTGATCTTTCAAAAATTACTTGCTACTAAAATACAGATCTGCAGTTTCTTCCCCCTTACCTTTAATTTTCTTCTTGCGTTGAATTTCTTCAAGCAATCTACAGTCTCCTGTCTGTGCATCATTGAGGCAACAGTAGAACGTTGCTGAGGGAGAAGAAGAGAACAGCATTTTCAGTATATATAATCATTTATACAGCACTGTATTTATTATATGTATTTATGGACCATATTCATAGGTTTCAGGTTCCTATCTTACTATGGTATTCATTTACATGGGATGGGGCTGCTGCCCAGCCAGGTGGTGTGTGGGGCTTGGGGCCCAGGGCTGCAACGTGTGGCTGCAGGGCCCTGGTGGGGAGTGGGATGGGGCCACGGGGACTCATCCACGGGGCAGAGTGGGGTGGGGTTGACTTCCTGCCACTGCACACACTCCCAGGGGGTAGGGTGGACACATGCCCCCCAGATCTGTCTGTGTGATGGGGGAAAGCATGAGCTGCCATGGATTACTATGTGTCTGGGAAGTCTGCAAAACTTTACGTGCATACAGAGCACTGTGCCAGTGCAATCTGGTGAAAAATGGAACCCATGTTAAAATGCAACTCAACTCAGTGAGTTTTGACCTGAGTGAAAACAAAGGTCTCGGGATTTTGACCAAATGTAAACACAAAAAACCCAACAAAATTCAATACAGTATTTTCATTTTGAGTTATACTATCCTATAAAATGGTATTAAAAAACTAAATTTTATTTAACCTTACCAGTATTGTGCAAGACACAGGACGAAAGAGGAATGAATAAAGGGCTCAGAACCAAAGAAATATCTGACTGTCTCTATCTGAGTTACCTGCATAGCAGTTTTAAGGCAAATCTCTTAACTTCTTTATGAGTTTCAGTATCGGCATAATTGGGTTAGTAACATTTACTCATCTGACTGGGGCATGTTGCTGATTATTTATTCTGAGGATGTAAACGTAACTGAAAATTATTGTTGTTACTGCTCCATATCCTATCCCTAGAACACTTGCACAAAAAAGACGTCTTAAAGGTCCTGATCCTGCAGTCTACTTTACATAGTGGACCTCTGCCAGAACAGAGAGACCTAGTGAAGTCAATGCAGGTCTGTTTGTATTAAGCAGTTCCTCTGGTTGGGGCCTCAGTAAGGATAACTATTTCCAGAGTTAGAATACTGCAGGCTGTCTATATGATTACAGTTTTACTTCTTCTATTTAATTCCTTTCCAACCAAAGCACATTGCAAATAGAAAATAATAATAATTAACCTTCTGGATTTGTGCACTAGATTTTGGAGAAGGCTATAAGCTAATCTGCATGTAATAGTATTTTGTTGCTTAACTGAAAACTACTTACACAGATCCAAGGATGCTTCAGTGCCTCTGATGCTGTGATACGTTTGGCAGGGTTGATAGTGAGCATTTTGTTGATAAGGTCTTTGGCTTCAGGAGTCACTGTATCCCACTCTGGGGAGGGAAACTTAAGAAAATACATGCATATATAAATATGTGTGTACAACATGTGTCCATATATAGGATACATACGTGACATGTAAGTCACATGAATGGATAGCATAACTTTACAGTTTAAGTAAACAAATGAAGCCTGATTTAACCAGAAAAAACAAATAACTAGTTCTGTAAACAGTATACTATTCTTTTAACTTCTTCATAATTTTTATTTCAGAAAGTTTTTCCACTGTCAATGTTAGATTTTTTGTAGCCAGTCCTTTACAGAAATATCTCCCACTATATGATGCTAATTAACACTAACAGGAGGAAATGACAAAATAGTGGAATAGGAAAGCCTAGGCAAAACAAATCAATACATATTCTGTGTTTATATAGCACTTAATACAGACCTGGTACTACTGGTCTGGTAAAAGAGGTAAATGGCATTATTATATAGACTCTTTGTTTATTGTCTTTTAATGTGAAATGGCGCATATATATTAAATGTACACACACGTATATGTGCATATATGTACAGTAATATATACAGTTAAAAGTGCATTAAACTGCTTAATCATTTACTTATGTCCATTCCCGTTCAGCAAAACTTAAGCATGCACTTAACTGTAAGCTCATACTTAAGTTCCAGTGAAATAGAATTTAAGTATGCTGTGAAATGTTTTAAAGAAAATGCATAAACTCAAGCATTTATCCTTGTATTGTTTCATTCTTAAGATGGGTAAATTTAGAGCTAATGAAAACTGTTGATAAATATGCAAGAAACAGTACTTATTCAGAGACAGTTATCACAAGGCAATGGGATCCGTTTTATGAATGCATATTGCAATCTTTGTGCTTACTCAATCCTTGTTTCCTCAGCTGAAACTGTAATTATCTGATATGAATTTGTTGCTGTATAGATACTTGTCCACAAGGAAACAGACTGAGATCATAACGTCTTCATTTCCACTAGAAGTCAACCAGCTGACAATCATTTTCAGTCATTTCCAGGCAGGGATGGATTCAAATGAGTGATTAAAAAAAAAGCCTGTGTATGCCATAGTAATTTCAACACTAATAATTTTGATCCTTTTAATAATAATTTGACCTATTCAATCCTTAAATAGCTGAGTCTTTGAGTTTCAGTCAATTAGTACTGAGCAGTCAGTACTGAGCCCACTAAGCTTACAATAAAATTGCTTTTGCAACATCTATAACATTTCCAAACCCACTGGGCCAATCCTTCAAATGTTCACCAACTGTAGGCTGACCATATGGAAATCCAGGACATCACCCAGGAAATCCGGGACACTGTCCTCCACCCCCGACCCTCTCCCAAGTCAGCAAGGTCAGGGCTGCCAACGGGCACCTGGGTCTGGCCTCTGAAATCCAGGAATGGCCCAGACATATGGTCACCCTACTGAATGGCCACAGTGCTTATTACTGGGAGGTATGCAACACAGGATGGGACTGCTCCTTCCATCTGTGTTTGCAGAATGGGGCCTGTAGGCATCTCTGGGCACCTGAAGACTTTATAAAAGACAATTGGCAAGAAACTGTCATTTGGTTTGTTGGCAATGATAAGCCACCCTAAAGAATGTAAACTTTTGTCAGTTTAAAATATTACTAAAGATACCAAAATGTGAACAGGGTCAACATGAAAAAGTAGCCATCATTCTTAAAGGACTTTTATTCAACTAACTGCCAGCGTCACAGATTTTGAGCCGTAAATCAATTTGATAAAATTACTCTAGGCCGTACCTGTATCTGTAAGGCTCATATTACACTTAAATGTTCCATTACACATATACAAATTTGTACATGAATCAACAGCAAGTAGAATGTAACAGAAGTGCAAAATCAATAAAAGTAAACAGTAGAACAGGGAAACACTGAGCTTTCTTAATATTATTCCAACCCCCCCCCCCC